AAGTGCCACCTGACACTTGATGTATGACACATATTTTCATTATGCAGAATACATAACGCTTTCCCATTGCGTTCAATCAGTCCAAATGATTTTGTCCAGGCCTCTTGCAAGAAACTTCCACTACCTGTATTCACTTTTACTTTTTTCACTGTAGTCATTTTTTGGTGTTCAAGACTTGGAGTCTACAAAAACCCAAAAAAATATTTTAAATGTCGCATCAAGGCTGGGAATGTAGCTCAGCAGTGCAGTGCCTGCTTGGCAAGTGCAGGACCTAAGTTCAATTCCCAGTACCAAAAAAAAAGCCCCCAATGCAAATCTATCCCTATACACTAAGGGCCAATGATTTAGCTCAGTGGTGCCACTGCCTACCTCACAAGCACAAGGTCCCAAGTTCAATCCCCAGTACCAAAAAAAAAAAAATAGTAAACACTCTTAGTTAATACTAAAGAATTGGATATTCCCTGAGTCAACAATCTATGGCAGTGATTCTCAGCTGGGGTTCCTCTTGAATTTACTGACCAGCAGTGTAAGAGGGCAATGCTCCACTGACCACCAGGTTTTGGCCTGCTCTAAAAAAGGCATCTGAGTGCATTTCCTACCTTGTGGGGTTTTCTGCTAAAATAGCCCACCCAAGCAAATATATATATTCTTGTTCTTTTTTCATAAATTCTTTACAAACAACTAAATATGATCCTGCTGATTCAAATATCCCAGGGGAACAGCACGACATTAAAATAATCTCAGTCTCTTAATTATAACATTTCTCTGCTAAATCCCAGATATTAAATTTCAATTTTTCATTTTTAAAAAACCCAAAATTTTATGTTAATAAAAGTGTATGTATTAAAACTCAGTCTGTCCTTGATAGTGCACTGACCAGCCATGTAAAGGCTTGGATGAGTCACAGCTAATAAGTTGTGGCACATGACATCACTGCCTGGTGCCACTACTCCTTTCTGAGCATGTGCATGGTCCCTGAGGGCACTGTCATCTGATGCTTGGTTGCTGGGACTGCTTGGATTGCATGCCAGCAGAAAGGGCTCTATATATGCCCACTACAGCATGTGCGCCACAGGTTTGACAACACTGTTCTAGACAGAAGAGGTAGTGCCCTGGAAGGGTATATCCTCCTTCCCAGCTCTTCTTTTTACTCTCTGCTTCCTCTCCACAACTATCTTATGCACAGACCCTTCGACCATGCCTCAAACCAGGCAAAAACTTGAACTTCTAAAGCATGAACCAAAATAAGCCTTTTTTCTTTTAAGTTGCAAGTGTGAACTATTGTGTCCCAATGAAAAGAGTGACTAAGTAAGCAGGCCAATGCTTACACAGATTCTAAGAATGGGGCTTTGCCTTACAAAGGACTCACATCAAAGGAAACTACAGTTTCACAGGAATATCCTCCCTCCAAAAAGGAGATGATCAGAGTTTTCACTCTGACCATGGCCTCTAACTGCAATCCCACCATTTCTCAAAATGCACCTTTGAATAGAGTTGCCAGGTTTACAAATGAAAATAGAGGACACCAGGTTAAATTTGGATTTCTCATATATGGTACATGATTTGGGGAGGTAAGTATGTCCCATATATTTCTTTTCCCAGAAAGATAAAACAGTCTGGATCTCTCTAGCTAAATACTTCAAGGGACATTCTTGTCCTAAAACCTTACCTGTTTTTTACTTCACTATGTTGGTGAGAGAAGCATGAAGCCACCTAGGGATGAGCAGCTCAGTTTCATCAGGTCCTCTTCATTTTGGCCCATACTCAGATCAGAATGAAGGAGAGAAAAGGCAGGGTCTCTCTTTTGGTCTTCTTCAGATTCAAACTCTATCAGAAAATGCTTTTTTGGATCTAATATTGATGTCTCTTGGTCTATTTCCAAATAATCTTACCCTGCTGTCTATAAACTGAAAAGGCAACTTCATGACCTTGTCATTAGATCCTTCTGAATCATAAGAATATTAAGTATCTATCCAAACCTTCCCCATCCTTCTCTTCCCTGGACCACCTAATAATAACTCATTCTTAACTCTTGGTCTAAACGTTTCAAAAACATTATGGCTCAGCAATTCTAACTCTATAACTTTGTGTTTTTTAAAAAGCATAAAATAAGGATACAAAGACATAGGTATAACAGAATCCGTCTCAGCAATATTTATAACAAAGAAATTTAATTCCAATGATGACATTAATTAAAATTATAGTACATCCATATAGTTAAATTAAAAAGAATATTGAATCTGCTGTGCAAGCGCAAGGACCTGAGTTCAATCCCCAGTACCAAAAAAAAAAAAAAAGAATATTGAAGTCATATTTAGAAGTCTCCTAATAAGGTATAATATTAACAGTAATTTAATAAAGTAGAAAATACCTATTACAAAACAACTTAGAAAATATAATCTCATTTCTAGTTTTTATAAATATGCATAAATATGCAGACAAAGAGAAAATAGGCTTCAGTAATTTTCCAGAGACATTATTAACAACAAAAGGTTGGTAGTTATTTTCTTCTGAATGCAAAATTCTTTGAAATTAACAGAGTTACTCTTCTAAACTGGAAAGAAAATCAATGCTATGTAAAAATTCTCATTATCGTGCCATGACAGTGATTTCCATGTTTGTACTGCTCACTTCTTTGGTTTATAGCTGAAAGATAATTTGTGAACAAGCAAGATCTGGCTTCCCAGGAAGAGTAAAAAGGTGCTGGATCCTCTGGCCAGCAAATTGAGGTGGAATCCAATGAGACAAAGTGCATATTTTGTTGCAAGAAACAAAAGTGGCATTTCCACAGTAGAAAGACAAGATCAGACCTTCTGATGCCACTCAGAGAGGAAACAGGGATGTGAACTTCTACCATAGGATCAGAAGAAAAAAAAAGAGTAAGTCTGTCAAGGGGGTAGGAGAAGAAGTTTAGTAGAGAAGATCAACATCTCAGAGAATCTAGGAGAGAGAGTGGCAGTTAAGTCGAGTAACTGGACAGATGCTGCACCACAGAAAGCACACCAACAAGACTCAGTGTTTGAACTCCCAAGACAAACCAAACAGATCCCAGCACTATTTCTTCCCTGTCACCCAGGATACCGAAGCTGGACATCACACCAGAAATAAAGATGCTTTTGTTGCAGCAGAGATGATTGATGTCAGAAAAAAAGGTTGCAACGAGGCATCTCTGGGAAAAGGATAAAGATGTATGTCTCAAGAATTACAACCCCAGTAGTGGCTTCGTCTGCCGCCGTCCTCCTGCATGTGGGTTCGTCTACCTGCTCTCGTCTCCCTCAGGCCTGCCATCCTCTAGAGACCAAGCACCATGCCTTCAATTAATTTGCAGAGTTCCGTTGGAGAGATATTTGAAGTTGATGTTGAAATTGCCAAACAGTCTGTGACAATCAAGAGCATGTTGGAAGATTTGGGAATGCATGATGAAGGAGATGATGACCCAGTTCCTCTACCAAATGTTAATGCAGCAATATTAAAAAAAGGTCATTCAGTGGTGCACCCACCACAAGGATGACCCTCCTCCTCCTGAGGATGATGAGAACATAAAAAAGAGAACAGACGATATCCCTGTTTGGGACCAAGAATTCCTGAAAGTTGACCAAGGAACCCTTTTTGAACTTATTCTGGCAGCAAACTATCTAGACATCAAAGGTTTGCTTGATGTTACATGCAAGACTGTTGCCAATATGATCAAGGGGGAAACTCCTGAGGAGATCTGTAAGACCTTTAATATCAAAAATGACTTTACTGAAGAGGAGGAAGCCCAGGTACACAAGGAGAACTAGTGGTGTGAAGAGAAGTGAAATGTTATCCCTGACACTGTAACACTATAAGGATTGCTCCAAATACTAGTTGCACTGCTCTGTTTATAATTGTTAATATTAGGCAAACAGTAGACAAATGCAGCAGCAAATCAGTTGTACTAGTATAATATTGTTCTCATTGCATGTGTAGTTTCAGTACAGATTCCAAACCAATGGCTTAATTTCTTCTAGTCTGAGCAAATATTCTGAATAAAACGGAACTGTGGGTTCTCTGTAGAAAGTTGACATGTTGAGCTTTCCCTCTTTTTGTAAAGTGATTTCTTCCTAGTTTATTGTCCAATTGAAATTAATGAGCTTTTAAAAGTTGGCATTGTAAATAAAACAACTTGCAAAAAGTTTTCTGAAACAGAATTAACAAAATATTATCTTTATTCAGAAGTTGGTAACTGGAAAAAGGCTACTTGAAATAACTGTTCCAAGTGGGGTTATTTAGGATGTCTTCCAGCCTCCAGAGTCAAGCAGTATCACTGGTATAGATAGGTCTGTAGGTAGCAGGGCTCCCTTAGTTGGACCTGAGGTCTTATTTTACTTGTTTTTAAATTTTTAATCTTCTCAGCTTTGAGTATGTTGCCTAGGGACTCAGTAACTACCAAGTTTGTGGTTTGGGGGAGAAATATAACTAGACAGTTTTTTAGCTTTTCAATTAAAGACAATAATTCATATGGTATGTCATCTTTCTCTAATCACTGTTTTCATGTGGGGAAAACTATTCACATTACTTGCATGTAAAATGTAATTTAACCTTTAATATTAAAATATGTGCCAAAACCCAGAAAACGTTCATCATGAGTGCAAGATACTTTCAATAAAAAGTATATTATATTAAAAAAAAAAAAAAGAAGAAGAAGAAGAAGAATTACAATCCCAGAAAGGTACCTGATCCTCAGGGAAGATAGGAATTGCTAGGTCATCACACACAGCGGTCACAGCTGCCTTCCCTCTTCTCTTCAAATGTGTGTTTACTCAGCTTTGCACCTTCAATCAAGCCAGGTCAAGGACATAAAAACAGACCCAGAACCCAAGGCCTGAGCAGCATGTCTGTGACTTGTGGCCTCAATCTGGGTGAAGCAAGGAGCTCACCACTCACACTAACACACAGCAGGTCCAAGCTTCTCTCTCCTCCTTGAAAGTGGCTGAGGTCAGATCCTTATCTCGAAGAACTGGGAGGAGAGAAGGAGGTCAAGGGCTCCAGAGGAACCTATGCATGAGACGCCTCATGGCCCCTGTGACCTCCTTATTCCTCAGGGTATAGACAAAAGGATTGAATGTAGGAGTGACAACTGTGTAAAAAAAGGCATAGATCTGGTCTGTGTCCAGAGAGGAACCTGACTCTGGCCTCAGATAAGCCACAGTGGCAGACCCAAAAAAGAGAATGACCACAAACAAATGGGAGGAGCAGGTAGAGAAGACTTTTCGACGACCCTGGGATGTTGAAACCCCAAGAATGGTGACAAGAATACAGGCATAGGAGGTCACGATCAGCAAGAAAGGAGTCACAATGAAGAATATAGTGATAATGAGCTTCCCAACTTCACCCGTAAAAGTGCTCCCAGTAACCAATCTCAGTACAGGCATGACATCACACATGTAGTGGTGGATGGTGTTGGCACCGTGGAAAGGCAAAGAAAAAATGCAAATGGAGTGAATGGTGCCAGTGATGACACCCATGAGGTAAGAAGCCCCCACCATGCAGTTACATGCTCTCTGCTTCATCAGGGTGGTATAATGCAGTGGCCGGCAGATGGCAGCATAGCGGTCATAGGCCATGGCAGTGAGCAAGCAGCACTCAATGACCCCAAAGAAAGAAAAGAAATACAACTGGGTGAAGCAGCTGACAAGTGGGATGGTGGGGTGGGTGGACATGAGATCAGCTAGCATCCTGGGCACAATGGTGGTGGTATAGAGGATCTCCACCAGGGAGAAGTGGCGAAGGAAGAAGTACATGGGGGAGTGGAGGACAGGGTCAGCCAGGGTAAGGATGATGATCAGGGAGTTGCCCAGCAAGGTGACCATGTAGATGCAGAGAACCCCCCAAAACAGGGGGACCTGGAGGGAGCAAAAACCTGAGAACCCCAACAGAATAAACTCAGTCACTGCTGTGTCATTGTCACCAACCATGTCCCCAAAGCCAGACTGCAATAAGGAGCTGGAGAAGGTGTCATGCAGCACCAGGAGGCAACCAGGCAAAGACAAGGACTTTGGCAAGAAAAGTGTGGGAAAGTCCACAAAAATGTTCCAGCTCTCAGGACTAGGATGTGAGATTACCCGGCCTGGTGATGACTTCTTCCAGAAAAATGTCTCAGAGCAGAAAGAAGATAAACCAAAGTGAGGGAAAGCAGCAATCTTCCTTGAGCCAGGGACTTGATGAACACCAGGATGGTTTATCCATTCACCTAGAGATTGAGTTCCGAGAGTAAAGAGCTGGGAAAGAAAATACAGCTCCTCTTGAGAGATGGTTTAGAATGTGAGCAGAAAATGGAGGCCAAACAGAGTAAATAAAGTTGGCAGGAGGAAACAGGAGAAAAAATGTATCCACCTTGAAGCAGAGAAGGATAGGGAATGAGAGATCGACAGCAAAAGACAGATACAAAACTCGGGATCTAAAACAAAGGCACAAGAACCTGTGATGCTTTTACCTATAGAGAGGTCCCCAGGGTCTTCAGAATGCCCCTCCCCAGCAGCTCATCACAGCAGTTTGATCTCCCCAAGAGCTTGATTCCCAGAGCAGAGGGGAGGGAGGGAAATCTGATGAAAAAAGATGAGAGGAGGGGTGACTTCCTCCTGCTACATCATGGTGCCTATGTGTGCATTGACAGCCCTGGGTCTGGAGCATCCAGAGTCCCTCAGCTAGGTCTAAATGGAGCTGGACTCTGAAACCCAGAGTTCTTACCCACTGGCTAGTGCCCCAAGGGCTGCCTCCTGTCCTACGCATCCCCAGTATTAGTTTCCAATTTTCTCACCAATGCCTTGTGAGCAATTTTTTTAAATATTTTTATAAAACAGTGCTAATCTTCAGAAAAGAATTATGTAATAGCAACAGGTCTGAAAAAAATCCCAACCCCACACAGGGTTCAATGACCCCCCAACCCCCCAGCTGCTGAGAGAAGCTGCAGTTTTGTGTGAACTTTAGAAACAAGAAATAATTTCTTAGATCTTAGCTGGGGCTGATGACATTCCTCTGGCAGGGAATGACAGAAGTGACCTGAGAAGATGCCTTGGGCAATAGAGGCTCACTGAATAAAAACCAAGAGAACTTGCAAGTCCCCCAATTGGAATGTATCACTTAAAATAGGAGGACTTGTACTGCAGGTTCATGTCCAGTTCAGTGCTCTAGGGAAAAATTTCTTATCCAAGACAGCCTATGGTTGGTTGCATTACTCTCCTTCTTATTTTGTGAAAGATTTTAAGAATTTCAACTGGGTGCACACCAATAATCTCATCATTCTGGGAAGCTGAAGTAAGAGGATCACAAGTTTGAGAATAGCCAGAAAACTTAAGGACAGAGGGACCATGTGTAACAAATAAAGAAAATAATAAGAAAAGGACTAGGAACAAAGTTGAGTGTGAGGGCCTTCTGTTCAATCCCTATTACAAAAAAAAAAAAAAATCCAAGTAATGTATCTAATTAGTTTTCCCAGGATGAGGGAGAACACAATTCACTCCTCTTTCAATGGGACTCCACACACTAATCTTTTTTTTTAATTCTTTTATTGGTACATTTTAGGTGTGCAATACATTTACATTTATCATTGGGTGTTTGTACCTGTACATGATGTATCTTAGCTCTTATTTTTTTCCCCATTACCTGTGTGCCCTTCAACCCTACACCCTTCCCTATTTACATAGATTTCGTTTCCATTTTTTTTTTCTTTTCTTTTCTCATAATTTTTCCTTTCCCTTCTTCCCTTTCCCCTTCCCCTCCCACCACCCCTACACCTTTGG